AAAGGAGCGCTGATGTCTTGCTTTGTGAAATCAAACGTTGAATTGACGTTCTGGTCACCTTTTCTCTCAAAGAGCTTGCCCAGGTTTTTTTGGCTCACAGCTTTCAGAACTTTCACATCACGCTCGCAGGTCACGGCTTCGAAGTTGGACAGCAGCAAAGTATTTTTTGAATTTTGGATCATGAATCATGCCCAATCGACATGACACGGTTCGAATTGAACAAGTTCTTTTTAAAGAACAGATGTCCTATACGCACACACACACATAAATAAACCCAGAAAACCCAGTTGGGGGACTCAGCAACCTTCAAATTCGTGGGCCAAAAGTGCCCTTTGCACGTCTCACAGTCTCACGGTCTCACCACCTACAAGGCGCTGCTTGGATGTTGTGTAAACGGCTGTGAACTGATTTGTCCGTTTCCTTTTTCAAATCAATTTTACCGATTTTTTGTCGAAACAAATTTGGAAACACCATGCCAATACCTGATGCATCAACCTTGGAGCCAAAGCGTTCACGGGGTCGTTCACACGATTGAGCCAGGTGAACTCCTTCCAATGGTCACAAGCGTCGGTGAGGTGCTCAGAACACGTCAGAAATAATTTGTTGAGCGTTGAACTTTTTGAGGCGCCGGTCCTTTTTTTTGGTTTCTTTTTTTGGTTCAGGGTGTTTCGGCGTATAGGTGAGAGTTCAGCTGAAGGACCCACCTGGACCAGTTGAGTAGAGTCTCAAAGTACGTCAGAAACTGGGACTGGGGTACAAGATGGTGCAAGTACCCCTTCTGTTTCTTTTGTTGTGTCCCATTTTTGGGATCTGTTGAAGTGTGGAAGTTGTGGGCATGGACTGTATGTATGCTGCATTGACCCTCTTAAGTCGCTCAAAGAGGTGAGTGTTTTTCACTAGTGTTGTACATACACATGTACCATACCTCGTGGTATTGGCTCAAGAAAAAGGTGCCTCATTTAGGCTGATTCCTGTTTGAAATAGGTTATCAGCCGTAGGTCTCCTTCGGCAGAGCCTTTTATCAGGGAGAACCTGACGGCTTCATTGTCGCCGAACCATACTTGAAGGCCACACGAGATTTTGCTGTTCCAAAATTTTAACGCAAGGACTCCGGCAAACAACTCTAGTTCATAAATGATGGTGTCTTTGGCGGAAGCACCAAGCTCTAGGCAAGTCTTAGAGTCAACACTGAACCCAAACCAAGAGACACACTCACCTTGGTCGTTGACAAGAACACCTCCAATGCCCCCTGTTTTGTTGCCCTGCTCATATGAAGCATCGGAGTAGATGAACCATTGTGCAAGCCTGTGAGCACGAACCACTCGTGGTTGTCCTGAGTTCAAACGTTCAAGCATGAAACGAAGGGCATCTCGCAGGCTCTCATCGATTTGCTTTTGGGCCCCGTAGGCATGTTCGATTAGCTTACTTAGCACTAAGATCCCTAAGCGACCGTGGACGAAGCTGTCTGCAAATCCTAGTTTACCTCTAAGCACCAAAGCTTCGGGACGCGTCAACGTGCCTCGGTCCAAGGCAGCTTGCAACAATTCTTTCAGCTCCTGCTTTCGTTGCTCAGTGTTCTCGATCATCAACTTTCGCTCCGAGGACAAGGAAAAATCAAACACAACACCGAGGGCACGGCACAGAGTGGAGAACTCCGTTTTCTTTTTCCCTTCCCGGGCGAACTCCCAACCTGTTAGCAAGAAAACCAGCTCCATGGCATGCTTTGCACTGTCCTGAGTCTCGGCCCTAGAGACAAGGACAAAATCGTCATAGAAGTTGGTGTTCATTACAAACAGTCCTCTCGCAGCGATGAAATGAAGCATCTTTGCAAACCGCAGAAAACAGTACACACTATGAGTAGCCCCAAAAGGCAGGGTCAGCATCTGATACACTTCAGCCTGCTCCGTTTCATGGTTGAAGATGCTGAAGTATGCATACTTGAGATGGGACTCCCGGATGGGAATCTGTCGGTAGGCGCTCTTTAAATCATACGTCTTGGCAACCAAGGAACTGTCAAGCTGTCTCTCCGCACAGTACCTGAAATATTGGTTTGCCAAGGCCGCCAGCGTGTCAATCATATGCAGATCCACTTTGTTGTGGGCCGCACAAGTATCGTTGATTCCGCTGACAGAATAGTCGTCGATCACTCGAGCCTTGCTGCCTTGCTGCAGCAGAAACCTTCTGGAAACAACGGCATCCTTCTCGAGCTCCTCCAGTTTGAACGGGCCTCTGGCCCACCCTTTCCTAATCTCTTCTCGGGTCTCTACCAGAAGTTGCTCGTCAAAAGCTCGGTCACCCGAACTCCTGGTCATGTTCAGGATGGCTGCATTCTTAAGGGTTGCACCTTTGTGCAGCTGATCCATCGTCTGCATGCAAGGCTTGTACTGCTTGTGAAAAACCGAGGATTCCTCGACGTCACCAGCAAGAGTCGCGCCTTCTCTTAGCATCCGCAGGACCTGGACATCTTCATAGCCCAGCTCTGCCAGAATCTGTTCTGTTAACAGGACCTTTTTATCTTTTGTGTTTGCTTGAACATGTGCCGGTCGCGTGTCGGCATCCAGTCTTTCTGCATCCTTCATTTCAACTGCCTTTTTCAACCAACGTCTGCACCAATCTGCTCTGTAAGAACTCATTTGGTGGTCATTCCATTCCAAGTTCTTGTCAAGTGCAAGTTTCAAGTCTGGTGGGACTTGATGATCACCCAGAAGGGGGTGACCAGCTTTACACGCTTGCTGAATGAATGTTTCATAACTCCACGGCAGGCCAAAGACAACTTTGTACCCTTGGGGTTGAGGGTCAAGCGCACTCGGACCTACTCCTGAAACATCACTCAAACCAACTTCCTCCGCACTGCTTTCGACCCCCCCTTGTTGGTGCGGGAGGAATTGAGCAAAACGAAGAAAACGCGAAGCAGCCGGAATGTTCACCTCTTGTCCATCGAAGGTGCGCAAGGTGATGCTCTGGGGGAGTTTTTGCATCAAGGAACATGGAATCTGCGACAAATTGTCAGCATGAAAAGAAGCAGTAGCAGTAAACTCAAGCCCTCTTACACCTCTCGCCTGCATTTCGCGCACTCGACACGCACGATCTCCGCAGAGGGTTGCGCGCGCAGCCGGCAAATCGCACTCTCGCCTGCGTTTCGCGCACTCGACGCGCACGATCTCCGCAGAGGGTTGCGCGCGCAGCCGGCAAATCGCACTCTCGCCTGCATTTCGCGCACTCGACACGCACGATCTCCGCAGAGGGTTGCGCGCACACCGGACAAATCGCACTCTCGCCTGCATTTCGTGCACTCGACACGCACGATCTCCGCAGAGGGTTGCACTTTCGGTTGACGCTGTTCGTCCCACCCTCCGCCTTAAAGAGAGAATTTATAAAGTGGGGAATGTTTTTTCATTAGGACATCTCCCGTGGTAGTTTTCCATACTCACACTTGCCTACTCATTGCATGCTTGTTGCATGCTTGCATACTCATTGCATGCTTGCATACTCATCAATTGCATACTTACACTTGCATACTTCCACGTGGTGAAAGTGTCAGTGTGTAAGTGTAAGTGTCGAAGTGTCAGTGTTCAAAGGATTTTCCGGAAGAACCCTTCGCAACGCTTTCGGGAAAATATGTTTAAAAAGCAAAAACACAAGTCTCATCTGTTGCTGGTTCGGCCAAGAAGGAGAAAAAGAAAGGAAACTGGAATCCGTTCACAACCTCCAAGCGATGCCTTGTAGGTGGTGAAACTCGATGGTGAGACGTGAAACTGCACTCAGCACTGCTGTTTTGAGCTACAAAGGGCGACGGGAGTCGGAAGCTGCGCTTCGCTGCGCTTCGCTCCGATCGCTCGGCTTCGCTCCGGATCGCTTCGATTCACCGAACGGTCTGGTTTTTGGTGTCGAAAGCTCTGTCGAACACTTCGGTTTTCACCCGGGCTGGTTTACCATGTCTGTGCCAAAATGCATCAAAATGCAACTGCGAACAGGGCCCCACGCCGCTGTGCAATGCTGCGCAAGCCTCCTTGGAAACAGATTGCATCACTTGTCACATCGGTGTCACGCGCCACTCGCCACATACATGGGGTAGAATATTTGGTAGAATCCTGTTCTGTTTCTACTTGCAGGGTCTGAACTTTCAGGAGGTACAGGAGTACAAAGGAGACACAGCTCCAGAGTCTAGCAGAGTCTAGCAGCACATCTACCCGATCTACAGCGCATCTTCAGCGCACCAGCTCACCGGCTCCAAAGAGGCACCAGGGAGGCACGAGGGAGGCAGAAAAGGACCATTTGAGGGAGGGAGGGAGGGAGGGACGCCCCACAGCCAATGGGGAAAAAAGGTGGATTGAAAGACTTGGGAGAACCATGAAGAATCCAAAACCCGCATTTCTTCCAGCGTCTTCGTCTTCCAATTCGAATCTCATCGGAAGACAAACGACTTCTCTCTCCGACTTCTCCTTCACCTTCCAAGGCCTCCTCTTGGCGTCGAGAAGTGTCGGTCTTTCCCGTCACGCTGCCCGTCCGCCTCGTGGGAATGACGGTGGTCCATTGCTTCATCCAAACACCCAAAAAAGGCCCCCGGGCATTTGGATCGTTTTCTATGGAGAAGACCTACCAAAGCTGTCGGCTTTTTTCAAGACTCCTACATGTTCAACATTCCAAAAAGAAGCTGAAACATCAAACCCGATGGACTCAGACCTGGAACACTCTCAACCAGTTGACCGAGTTGACTCAACAAGCTCAAGCTTTAAGGAAAGTCCAGTTCTCTGGTTGCGAAACCAAAAGCTAGGCTTTAATCCCAAAATGGTGTGATGAACTTCCAATCTGATTTATCATGCGATGAAAAACGCCGAAGCTTGAAACATCTTGAAACCACGGCAAGGTGCTCAATCGCATTCCACAAACGCCACGTGAGTCCGCCAACTTTTTCGTCGTCACCCTGGATGACATCGAAGACATCTGTGAAAAACTCACCTCAGAGTCTTTCAGAAGGAGCTCATCATCTCGTCACGCTGGGCGCTCACGATGTTGAGCTGTTCACCTTGGATGTCCATGGCATGCCGGTGTCTTTCTTCGGCTACAGCCTCGATCAACCTGGCATCGGTTGACGGGGCTTGGTGAACATGCAAGTGCTGGTTCAACACATTAGTATTACTCATGCTGACCGGCACAGCGTTCCCGCTGGCACTCATGTGGGGAGGATCATAATGGGCAATGTCAGGCCCTAACGGCGGGTCAAGAAACCCAAATCCTTCCGGCACAAGCGCCGCTGAACCTGCAACCTCAGGTGTTGCCTCCCGTGCGGACATATCGTCCTGGTTCGACGATAAATCAATTATCGCCGGTAAAAACCATAACCAGCCATGGCGTGGAGCACAAAGTAGTATAACTTTAGTACGCGGAGTATATATCTGGAGAGGCGGAAGATGAGAACTGGCGACTTTCTAGTACAACTTTAGTGCGCGGAGTATCTGGGGAGCTGGAAGATGAGAACTGGCGACTTTGTAG